AGCTATGGTATTTAGGAACAAAATAAAAAAAAAAGTTAACAAATACGACCGGAATTGCATGAGATAATTCGATCTAAAAAATTAATTTATAAAATTTCTTACTATATCTAGGAATGGATTTATAAATAAAAGGATTAATGCAAAACTTGTAAATAACATGCATTTCAAACAACTTTAACCAATTTTTTTATTTAATACGTCGCTATATTTTATTATAAAACGCACCTATGGTGATTTGCACCTATTATATATTTTTATTATGTTTTTTGGATTTCTAAGTTTTTTATACAAAATTTTTAACACAAAATTTTTATATTAGGGTAAATATTTAGGGTTAAAGTTAGGGGTTGGGAAGGGTTTTTTGGGCATAGAACATTTTTACTTAAAGCACCTCACACCGATTAATTAGCCAATTTCTGAGTAAATATATACATAGGTGTAAAACACCATAGATGCGTTTTAGTCGCTAATAAGTTATTAAATCTTTAGAGTATAAACAGGAATTTAACGAACATTTTGATCGATCGTTTTTAAAAAACCAAATCGGAGTATGGCGATGCAGACATGCACTGTTATGCATTGAAACAACTTTAGACATTAAATTCACAGCCATTACCATTATTATTCTTATTACGTATCATTTTTCAGTTTCACTTTTTTCCCCTCTATATACGTAATCATTTTTTCTTAAACTTTATCCAGCATTTTCATATTTGTTAGACGTATAGAGCTTATTTATTAAAATATGGAGTATCTCGAAAATGCAATTAGTGAAAGGGACATTTAAATATTACGACCATACTACATTCTCCACTCCTGAAAAAATTGATAAAGGGGGATTCGGAGATGTGTATCGATCAGAATTGCAGGATTGCGGATTGACCGTTGCTCTTAAAAAATTAAACAAACCTTTGGATGAAGAAAAGACCATTCAAAAATTTGTTAAAGAGGTAAATGATTATATAATTTATTATACTGTAATATTGATAGTGCAAAGGGTATATATAATCTGATCAATATATATCATTAAATACTATTTATTTAGCTTAAGCACTTGCAAAAAGTTTGCAAGCATCCAAATATTATTGAATTTTATGGTGTCACTCGAGGTTGGTAAATAATAATAGTAAATCATAATCTGTATTTCCTTTCGAAATCAATAATTTTTTGGAAAATATCTATTCGTAGTACCAACAGATAAAACAGATGAATATTATATGGTTTTAAAATTTGCCAATAATAGAAATTTACGTGGATATTTAAGAAAAAAATTTTTAAAGCTAGAGTGGACTGATAAATTGCGAATAGCCTACGAAATTTCAAATGGCCTTAAATTCCTACATGAAAATAATATTATTCACCGAGATCTCGTAAGTGTTAATCTATTTGATTATTAACAAGACAACATCTATATTTTACTGATTAATAAATCTTTTCTTTTCATTCTAGCACTCTAAAAACATTTTAGTTCATGATGAAAAAATGTTGATTGCAGACTTTGGCCTATCAAAAGATGAGACATCAATAAGCTTAAAAAATTCTAGAGTTTATGGAATGCCAGCGTATATTGATCCTCAATGTTTTGCAAATGAAGATTATAAACGTAACAAAGAATCTGACATTTACAGCTTTGGGATAATTCTTTGGGAAATTTCAAGTGGCCGACCACCATTCCAATCATTTGATCTTGGAGCCATTTGCCTTTGCCTTCAAATAATCAATGGAAAAAGAGAAAACATTATTGAAGGTACTCCTGACACATATATTCAACTTTATAAAAGGTGTTGGGATTATTGTCCGAACCAGCGTCCAAAATTAGAAGAAATTGTAAAAACACTTAAAAACCTTTCAGAAAAATCAGGTAAGCGTCGTAAATTAGCATATTTCTGTACCAGAGACCGAAAATTATTGACTGATTAAACTTTTGGATAATAAAAATAAACAACTAGTGATTCAAGACGAAGAAAATGCGATACAACCATCTACTAGTTCAAATAAGGAAGCAACTGGTAATTCAAGTCAAACCGATGAAAGTGTACTTAAAAACCTTTCAGAAAAATCAGGTAAGAATCTTAAATTAGTATATTTTTATACTACAGACTGAAAATTATTGATTGATTAAACTTTTGAACAATAAAAATGAAATAACTAGTAATTCAAGATGATGAAAATACGATACATCCGTCTACTAGTTCAAATAATGAAGCAACTGTTAATGCAAGTCAACCCGATGATAATGCAATACAATCATCCACTAGGTCAAATGGTACAAATAATCAGAAAACTACGCAGTTAATACTTAATGCAACCGAAAATGTAAACGTTGATAAGCAGCGTGAAGGTAATAAAAACATTATTAACACCTAATTTTATGGTTTATTGGTTTCATTTTGTTCAAATAAATGCTTTATATTCAATAATTTGGTTATTTCTAATTTATTAAAAAATTTTCTTCACCTAGATAATCAAAGTGATTCTGAAAATAATATAAATCCAAAAGACGTTACAACCGATGAACCAGACGAATTGGCAAGTGAAGGCATGCATTTATCTACCAGATCAAATAATAGTTCTGAGGAGATGATACAAATACCAATTAAAACCATTGATGAATCATGGAATTTCTTTATAACATACTTTTTAAACACCGGACTTTTGTGGGTATTTCAACCGCACACACGTGACCTAACGGGATTTGGGATTGTGGGTTTTTATACAAATTTTAATCAATTTATCATATGATTTGTATTACATTTGCTTTTTTTTTTACCAAAAAAAGCAGTCTGCATAATTTAAAAATGGAAATTACTATGCATAACGATAAATTACTTTAGACTATCCCAATTTTGGCGTGCGTATTCCATGTGGTATTACATATACGTAGTATAAATGATTAAAGAAGTATACATTATAATTTATACGTAAACAATAAAAAGTTGTACGTACGTACGTACGTACAGTACTACTGTACATACAGTACGACAATTATATATATATGACTTATAATAATGTGAGTGAGTGGTAGGTTAGCAAAAATTGTCGGTCTATGATCTACAATCCATTAAACTATTAATTTTACACAAAGTTAGATAGCATTTTAGCGCAATTGCGCTGCATTGCTACTTTACAAAAATCTTACATTTTTGCGATAGCATTAAAATATTCTGGATCATATATAAATTAGTATAAATTATTAAAATTATAGGTCGCCAAAAGAAATTTTAATAGTAAATCGCAAATTTAGTTTCTTACTAGCATTATTAACGAGGTTTGAACGAGGTTTTTTGAAAAACTGCTAATTTTTCGTATTTCGTCAAAAAACCTCGTTAATAGTGCTAGTAAGAAACTAAATTTGCGATTTACTATGAAAAATTCCTCTTGGCGACTATAAAACTTAATAATTTATATTAATTTATACATGATCTAGAATATTTCAATGCTATTGTAAAAATGTAAGATTTTTGTAAAGTACTTTATTAAATATTAATTATAAGACTCCGTGACGAGATTGACTAAATATCATGGGACCAACTGTTTTTGTAACATGACTAATCTACCTGTGGCTGACCTACCTGTGAGAGTGCTAACATAATGCAAATAACAGAATCGACCATGGAGGCCATTAAACTTAGATGACAAGTGACTATGGATGCAAATTAAAGATCTTTGGTGCTATGTGCAACTTTTCAAATATTTCGTATCTCTTTCGTATGTAGTTTAAAATTTTAGAAGATATTTTGAAAAATTGCATACCCCGCCAAAGATTTTTAAAAGAATACTTGCCGAAAAGGTTTACCGTTCTGCGCCAAAGATTTTTAAAAGAATACTTGTCGAAAAGGTTTACCGTTCTGCGCCAAAGATTTTTAAAAGAATACTTGTCGAAAATGTTTACCGTTCTACCTGTGTTAATAGATTTATCTATGACGATATGTTGATTAATAATACTGTATTTTAAATCACAAAATAATAAGATATTTGACATTTTTGTATCTCTTCGGAATATTTTACATATTGGCGAATTATGAAAACCTATTATTTTATTTCAAAATGTGTTTTGAGTGTTTATGTTTCGTATTAATTGACTTACGATTCTTTAATTTTCGCCGATTTCGGAATTAATTAGGCCAATTCTTGATGCAATTAATTATTGGATTTTATTACAGTATTATACTACTAGGGATGGAAAATGTTTTTTATTACGTAATTAAAAACAGGCATGTTTTTAATAGATTTAAAAACAAATTTAACTATTCGGACTTTTAATCATCACCTGTTTTAAATCGGTGAAAAAATGTTTAAAACTGGTTTTTTTCATCCTTATATACTACGAAATTTAATAACAAAGTAATAATACTGTATGTATCTCATGTTACTTATCTCACTAATATAAAAGAAAAATAATAAAGTCTGAATATTAAACTTTTTTTAATATTGAAAGAAGCAAACGGGCAAACAGAAAGGCATCTTTACTTATTTCAGCATTGATTTTTAATATGTAACCGCTGAATTACCATAGCGGTTTCATATTAAAAATCAATACTAAAATAGTTTTTACGACATGTAGATGGAAGACAACTTGGGCAAGTATTTTGTTTATTTACTTTTGGGTTTTACTTAGCAACTACTACAAACTAACAACTATTTTCTTTTTGTAAAAATGCTTTCGAGATTTTTAACTACTTTTGGGTGCGAATGGTAAGTTTTATTAATTATCTTAGTTACTACTTTTATACATTTTTCACTTTACAACTAATTATTCTATTTAGGATTCTACCAGCTTCTCTTCCACCTACCGCTTGTTCTTGGATTATCCAGTTGTCCATTTTTAAAATTACTAATAATGTTTTTTTTTTCAAAACAAACCTTTCAACATGCTATCTCATTCCTGCCATTCTGAAATCTGGGAGTCGTCATATTTTATTCTCGATCTGGTCGGATACATTTGTCTTGCAATTGCCAGGCAATTATACATGTTTCATCCAATTTTGGTTCAATCACAATGGAACCTCAAAGATATAATTTTCTGGCTCGTAAATCCTTTGATCGAATCTTAGAAACTTTTATTCGTCAAAAAAAAAAAAAAAAAAAAAAATTCAAATACTGTTTAATGGATAGAACCAGATATAATAATTTTTGAATGTACTAAAAAAATCTTAATGATTCACATAACCCAACTTTTAAACATTGGATGACTCATAACTTTAAAATTTTTCAAGTTGAAATGACAGAAGAATTTCATCTTATTAAGCAAGTCAGAAATAACTTAGGGACGCAAATTTGGTACATTCCTAAAAAGAACGTTTATGGTATAATGATAATATAATTTGTATAACATTGTCATTATATTATACGAATTTTCGTCGATTGAGAAATAATGTATGTCGTTCCTTAAGGAATTATCTGGGTCAATTAATAATCGAGGTAAATTGTGAGATGATGCAGAACACATATTATAAATGAACGCAGAAAAAGAAAAGGTAATATTTGCAAGAAAATATTTTAAAATCTGAAGAGCTTGAACATATGGTTTATAAAAAAAAATTCATAAACATTGAGGAGGAGACTGTTGTGGATATTATTCAAATAATTAACGAATTAGAAGAGTGGCGCAGACGAAGCTAATTCACTTAAGAAGATGGGTGCATTGGTTTTCTATAAGTTTATTATCGCTCATATTATTTAAAATTTTCT